GGATAAGACTGCCAGAGATGTATACTCTAATTTTCCCTTTTGAAAAGTAAGATTACCTAGTTAGGGTCAACCACTTGCAGGTATTACAGTCTGATGACAACTTCCATTTATTATAGCAGGCAATAGTTTTGGGATGTAAACTTCACATATGTATATAGTTTTTAAAGTGTTGCATGTTTTTGATATCTCGAGTATGGTAGGTTTCCTTTTATTTACTTAATCTTTAAGGAAAATGTGTGCTCCTGTATATTTTGACTGTGATTAATATTTTGTTCTTAAATGGCACTTCAACAATGCAAATTTCTGGTTTTGTTAGCATTTAGTACAGTAGTGCACCAAAGATGACTCACAAAGCATACCAAGTAATGACAGTTGTACTTTTTAAACTACCACTTATTATTCATTGTTGTCTCTCAAATTTTTTTGGCTACAGTCATCCCTAAACTTTTAAAGCGTAAAATTCCTTAAAAACTTTTGAATCTAAAAATCAGGATATATTGTCATGTCATAAGAAGTCATTTTTTTTTCATACTTCAACCATGAACTTTGTTTTTTAACAACTTTGTTTGTTCAATTGAGATTTAAAACTTGCTAAATTGAGGGTGAAGATGAGATGACAAAAGAGATGAATGCAGAATTTTGGGGGTCCTATTTAATATAAGAAAGCAGGTCGGGTTTTCTATCTTCTCTATTGAAAAAGAAAACATAAAAAATGCATTTAATCATTCAATGAAATTTATTTTCCAAATGAAAGTGAGATAGAATGTTTTCATTTTACATAACTGCAAACAGAAAATTAAAAACATATGTAATTTTAAAATTCTTGTTTTATATGAGAAAAGTGAGATTGCACGGGCATGCAAGTGCAAAATTTTTTTTTTCAAAATTTTTACTCATTTTCATTATAATCCGCTTTGCACATTTTCTATCCACTGACATTTTATTTACTATTTTTTTTCCGTAGAAGCTCTGCATACACGTTCTATCAGACGCTTTGGCCCTTCTGGACTCCATCAGCTCTAATTCGTCATCCATATTAAGTCAAATTGCATGCTGCATGATTTGAAACATACATTTCGAAAATATTTTACCAAACAATCTTGTCTTCAAGCATGTTATAACTCATAGACAACTTTCAAATCATATGCACCAGGGAGACTTATTGAGCAAATAACAGTGTGCCGCATAAGGTTATATTTCAGTTCTATTTATCTTGCTTGCCTCGAGTTGCAGTAATTAATCTGAAACTGATAACTATTTGTCTTGCTTGCCACGAGGAAGTGAATTGATTGCTTGAGGAAACTTTAAACATTTTCATATTTAAGTGCTCAACAGAATGTAGAAGGTGCGCTTGTGCTGTAGAATAATTGCGCGTATATAAAGGACTTAAAGGGAGAGATGTGATGCAAGTTCATATTAGTTCAACCTCGCCACTTTGCTTATTCAACTTTTCCAGTTCTCCCAGCCCAAATAAAAATTGGAATTTACTACCTTGAGATGTTAGCAGTATACACAATTCTACATGAAGCTTCTGCAAGGTCCTCTACAAACATAACACTTTTCACCACCCTCAACCACCCTTTGACTAATTACAGATCAGAGAAATAAAATTAGATACATAACTTCTGATGATCGTTGCAGAAGGTAGCTGGTTCCCTTTGGTTGAATTTATAGGCATTAGACTTGAAATGATCGTTTGATATTCAAATTTCCAAAGTAGCTGTTGGTTCTCCTGTCTATAGTTCCAGAAGGTCATTGTGCAAATCTGTGGAGAGACAGACTCCCAAGATAGTTAGTCTACTTCTACTGCATTTTGTTATCCTCTAATGCCTGCCCAAATATGGTAAAACTATTCTGATCATGTCCTGTCCATTTAAAGATGAAGAGAACCTAGCGATGAGTCAAATGCACATACTTATTTTGTCAACGCATGCAAATTAGTGGTTTTTTTTTTTAATGTACTGTAAGGTTGTTTCTATATAATCTTTCAAGGCTTGCAAATTGTATAATTTCTGTTGCTTGGACTAAATCTTTTAGTTAAGTCAGAAGTTGCTTATTTGTTAAATTTATATTTATACTAAATCTGTTGCTTGGATTATTTTTGTTACATGGACTAAATCTAATTTTGTTTCTCATGACTATGAGTTTAACTCCTATGACATTATGATTCAGTGTGACATCCAGAGGATCTTTGAGTATGTCAATTGACTTTCCATCCAAGATATGTCCATGTACTCAAGTGAAATTGTGTACCGTAAAAAGGGGGCAAAAGAATTCCATTAATCAAGGAAGATAATATTATGATTGGACTCTTTTCGTAAGTATATCAATTTATTATTGATTATTTGTGCATGTTGTGACATGATGTATTACTTAAATATTGCTTTATGCTAACATTTTGTTTTTCTTTGTTTTTTTCAGACAAACAATTGTCGTGGTTTTGAACAATGGGTTGAAGAGTGGATTGAAGAACAACAGATCTATTCACCTCAAAATGTGGATGTAGAGGAATCTTCAGAGGCATCAAATGAAATTAAAGAATTGATAGTCATGACAATAGATTTAAAGTTAATGAGAAGAAGAATGTGCTCTCTTATGCTACTAATATTATGGTATGGAGTTATCATATCTTTTCTTACTGTATTTGTGATTTCCATGTTCTTAGTTACGGGAGTCAATTCTGCTGGTTATGTAGAACTTGTTGTATGATTTGAAAGAAATTCAGAGAATTATGGTATGAAGTCATCATATCTTTTTTTACTGGATTCGTGATTTACATGTTCTTAGGAGTAACTTGGTGGTTATGTAGAACTTGTTGTTGTATAATTTTAAAGAAATTCAGAGAAATAAGGTATGGAGTCATCATATCTTTTCTTACTGTATTTGTTATTTCGATATTCTTAGTTACAGGAGTCAATCCTGGTGGTTATGTAGAACTTGTTGTTATATGATTTTAGAGAAAACAAGAGAAGATTGAAATTTTATCTCGAGACGAATATGTAGAGATGAAACTGAGTCATGCTACCCGTAAGTAGCTCATGCTCAATTCAACGGGTAGCTCGTGCTTAGTTCAACAATTACTCAAGATTGGCTCATCTAACTTTGAGTTGAGCTCGAGCTACTCAAGTATCATGGTGAGTGGAGCTCAAGCTCTTCAATCTCAATTTTCGAGTCGAGTCGAACTCAAGCATAAATTTTTTATGATCATTCAAGCTCGAGTCAAGTTTTGAGTATTGAGTATCTGAGTAGCGTCGAACTTAGAACTCGAATTTAGCACTGTATCGGCTCAAACTCAACTTGATTACATTACTACTGATATGCGCATGAAGAATAGGACTCGAAACAAAAGAGTTCTGAGCAAAGAATCAAAGGTTGACTATTGGATACACAAGTTTATACCGTTAGATTATGATAATCCCAAAATGGAAAAAACAGTGGAAGAAAGATCAACATTAGAAGGCAAAACTTGATATGCAGAAGGTGGTTCATCTAAAATTTGGCTTTTGCATTCTATTTCACAGTAGGAAGATCACGAAAGTCATCCCCTGTTCATACTAATAGATCATGAAAGCAAACCAAAATCCACAATCACTAACTTAAGGGCCAAAATGGCGGTCTTCTGAATAAGATCTATGAAAAAGCAACAAATAACTAACAATAAAAATTGTGTCGTTAAAGTAAACAGCAAATGCTCTCCCAACTTCCAAAATAGATCCAACTAACAAAAACAAATTTTCAAAGATCTTATGCATTAATTGCTTTCACATTGAACTCAGCTTGCTAAAGGGAGATCAAAGCCTAGTGACTGTGGACTTCTGCTTAAGGTTAATCCTGGCCAACAATTACTTCATGCCTTTCTTTGCTTATACCCATTTTAAAAAAGAAAAAAGTACATATAAATAAGCTAAAAACAATTTATCGAATCAGCATATCACATTAAACAAGCATCATACCTTGTGTGAGGTGTCTCTTGTGCATTAAAAGGGCTTTCTCTTGTGCTTCTCACCGGCGCCCTTCAACCGAGTATCTGATACACTCGTTGGCCTTATCTAAAGGGGATTGAGTACTCGAATTCCACAATTATATGCATCTTCAATTTCATCATTTTCCACCAAGTTGGTAACCTAACCCTCTTTCCAGCGCTCATAGATAGTGAATGGAAAAGAAAAGAAAGGAAATGGAAGAAAAACAATAAATTAAATACATTGCTAAAGCAATTAATTAGATGTTTTTAATTTTTTTGGTCAAATATATATTTTTATTAAGGGTTAATATCACGAAAAACCCCAAACTGGTATACACGTGACAAATTTATTAAAAACTAATTTTTTTATAAAAAAAAATCCCAAAATGATACACCTGTGACAAATTTACCCAAAATTAATTTTTTGACCACAAAAAACCCCAAATTGGTATACCTATGACAAATTTACCATCCGTTAGTTTTGTTAAATTAGATTAACACGACGAAAAATCCCAAACTTGTACACCTGTGACAAACGAAGAATAAAATTCCAAATCGGTACACCCGTCAATTGCCAAATGTTCTCCAACTCAATAAATTAACGGTATAATTTAACGGAAACTAACGGAGAGTAAATTTATCACAAACGTATCAATTTAAGATTTTTCACGGTATCAACCCTTTTGATTAACTTAATCATTCTTTCATCTTTTTTCAACCAAACCACGAAATACTTCTTTCTATTGCCCCTCGGTTCCCCTGCAACTGAACACACTGACGCAGCCAAGTCCTCTCCTCCGCCAACCTCCTCCTCATGCTGCTGCTGCTTCTCTTTTTTTTTTTTTTGATAATCGAGGTGTCCGCACGGCCGGCGAGCTAGGGCTCAAACCAGCGGTGATGTCCAACTAATCCTCAAGGGGCTAGCACAGCATCCCACCGCCACGACCCCCACTTAAATCACTGATGGGCGAGTTTGAACCCAAAACCTCTCGTGAAAGGAACTTAGCGCAAACCAACGCGGTCACCGATGGGTAGGTGCTGCTTCTTCTTCTTCTTCTCTCTCGCCAATGTTCAAACTTTCGGATTTTTACGAGCTCCGTCTTCATTGAAGCTTGTTGGTTACACCATCTCGTGATTACCCAAGTGAGTTCTTTGATCTTTTTAACGTCAGAAGTCTTTTTACTCTTCTGCGAGCAGGACGGAGGATGCTTTCCTTTCTTGATTTGAACTTCGCCTCCTTTATTAGAAATTGGATTGATGGTGATCAAAAAGAGCTTTCCGGGTTGTTTGTACTCTAAATTGAATTTGCTTGTTGAAGCTCGGACGGGTGATATATGCTTGCACTCTTTCTTGCCCACCAACTGTTTGCTGATTTGTCGACATCAGTTGATTAGTGCTCAAGCCATTCCCTCTCGTTTCCTTTGCGTCTGTTCATGGGTCTAGTGTCGATTCGAACAGGGCTTCTTTTAAGTCTTCTATTATGATGATTGTCGGTATCAAGACCTAACCGAGTCACCTAAGACTTGGATAAAGCTCATGATGATAAATTTGGCTCAAAGTTAGTAGCCTGAAAACCTAAAGGTGGTTGTTTTGTTGGTTTTGCTATTCCTAAACAAGAAACTCCAAATAATCTAGAAGATTCGATGCGACGTAGGAGGTATCTGTTAATTGGTTTCAGCCTATATATTTTTCAATGGATTGTATGTTCCTACTCAGATTTGTAAAAGTACAAGCCAAACTAGTATCCTTACCTATAGCTTTAGATGGTCTGCATCGCATTTCAATATCACGTATCTTCTGTGTTTCGAGAAAAGCTTTTCAGTAGCTATTGTGATTTTGTTGGTGTGAATTCAAGAAATCAACTAGTTCTTGCACTTGAGCTGATATAAGTTGAGTTGAGCTCAAATTTTCAACCTTTTCAATGACTCGCATTCGGATTTGATTGTTGATGATCAATTGAGCTCGAGTTCAGTTTTCAGTGCCGATTTTCTAGTTAAGTATCTTCCTGCATCGTACTTGACTGGGCTCATTTACACACCTTGGAATTTTTTTAGTTTGCCAGTTTTGCAATTTTTCTTACTTGTCTACAGAACCTTGAGCATGCATGTGTACTCCACAATGCACAAAAGGGCTTGTATTTTGGAACCACTGGTCCAAGGTAGCCCAACAAGTTCTAGACATTTTTATAGGGCTCATAATTGGACAGGACCAGGAGAAAGTGTAAGCTTGGTTGTGAGAGAAGACTACAAACCATTTACCGGACCCAGAAGAAGGCTGAGGCCCAGAACATCTCTGGCTGTGCTGTTTCATTTATTCTTATCTTCTTCTTCTTGAGTGTGTACCATCTTGTTACCGACATTGATAGTTCAGAATGCCTGAAATCTGCTTTTAGAAGTTTATTTTGCAACTAATCAATCATCTGGTCCCTGAATTTGGTCATTCTTTGCTTAATGAGGGATGTTTTTTAACAGAATGGTAAATTCTTTGCTTAATGGCCTTTTTGATATATCATAAAACATAAGAATTCATGTTCTTTCTTTTTTCTTTTGGTCGGAGACATCCTGCACTTGAATTCTACATAACGATTAACTCTCGGTCCACGCGACACCGCTAACCGCTTCTCCGACGACTCACTGGACGGCCAATTGAGGACCTCGTCTCCCATCCAGGCATATGCTTTTGTTTGTCACCGAGGGAACTTAAATGGCGTTTGATTCGGATTTCGATTAGTGGTCAGGTTTCTAAGTTCTCTCCTTGATGGCGGGTTAGCATATGCTTTTGTTTGTCAAGACAAACTTTTTTGTCACCGAAGAAAAATGTCTAATCCTTCTATAACTTTAAGCTGACCGCGTTTCCTAATGTATGAGGTCTACTGGGGTTGGGGCATATAAAAGCTTCACTGAAAGCAACCACCCTTTTTAATTAGGCAGGGTTAGCTGTACATCCATCTTCATTATGTCATTGTGCTCCATTTAGTATAAAATCATGAGGAAAGATTCACAATTTTCAAGCCTTTTTTCACTGTCGTTAATATTGACTGTTGGATGAAGTTTTCTTATTGTGTACATTACATTCCCTATTCTGCACGATGAATCTATCTTGCAAACCATATTTCGCAAGTGTGTTTTTGGTTGATTGAATCATTTACCTCATACTCTCTTTTTCCAGGTGACATTCATGGGCAATATTCTGATCTTTTGAGGTTTTTTGAACATGGAGGTTTCCCTCCTAATGCCACTTATGTATTTCTTGGAAATTACGTGGATCATGGGAAGCAAAGTCTTGAGACAATCTGCCTTCTGCTTGCCTACAAAATTAAGTTCCCCGAGAATGTCTTCCTTTTACGAGGAAATCACGAGTGCGAGTCCATGAATCGGATATATGGGTTTTATGATGAATGTAAACGCCGCATGACAGTTAGAGTTTGGGAGGACTTTATTGATTGTTTCAACTGTCTTCCAGTTGCCGCTCTCATAGAGCGCAAAATATTATGCATGCATGGTGGCCTTTCCCCCACGTTAATAAATCTGGATCAAATTAGAGGCTTGCCACGCCCGAGTGATGTTCCAGATTGTGGTCTGCTCCGCGACTTGCTTTGGTCAGATCCTGATAAGGATGTCAAAGGCTGGGAAATGAGAGATCGAGGTGCCTCATATGCCTTTGGCCCAGATACATTGTCTAAATTCTTGAAAAAGCATGATATAGAACTTATTTGTCGGGGCCACCAGGTTAATGACATGTTAATGCTTTCTTCTTTTGGTCTTTAGCCACAGAACAGCAGCATTATTAACGATGCTTGTCACAGGTTGTTGAAGATGGGTATGAATTCTTCGCCGATAGACAACTGGTGACCATATTTTCTGCTCCCAATTTTTGCGGTGAAGGTGACAACTTTGGTGCAATGATGAATGTGGAAGAAAACTTAACATGCTCATTTCAAGATCTTAAACCCGTTGATAAAACGGCTAATTCATCTGAGAATGAAGCGGTGATTGCTGCCACAGCACCTCCAAAATTGCAATGTAAGTGTTATTCTTTGTTTTTTCTCATTCATCATGTATATGGGTTTACAGTTTGCACCCATCCCCCTTGGTGCCCGACAATGATTTTCTCTTTACCCATGAAATGAAAGAAAAACCGTGTAAATAATAACCAATGGTAAAGACCTTCTTATAATAGCATTAAATCTCTGTCTTCAATTCTCTAAGAGTCATGGTGGCAACTGTCTCAATCTGTTGAGATTGTGTCTATGCCAAAAAAGAGGTTGTGTTCGGTATGATGACTAATTGCTTCTTTTAGTATTAAGGGGTTGGAACGTGTTGAGTTTTGCAAGTTTAAGGTAGTGTTTGTCATGCGAAATCCAAATATCTAAGATCTTACTTGTTTGGTTTTATGTTTCTATTGGGGGGAAGAACAGCATTGGTGCCAAAACTTGTGTACGGAGGCCACTTTGGTGTCAAAACTTTCATTTGGATCACTTAAGTGCCAAAAGTTTACGCCGGCGATCACTTAAGTGCCAAATCGGAGAAAAAACGATCACTTAAGTGCTAACGGCGAGAAATTCCGATCAAATTTAATACGTGGCTTTTATATTTAAATTTTAATGACACGTGGCATTTCCATGTGTATAATTCAATTTTTTAAATATTTTTTTTTTCTGATTTTCTTCTTTCTTTTCTTTTTTTTTTTTCTTTTCTTTCTTCTTATTTCCGATGGTCGGCCTCGCCGGGCATCGCCTTCCTCCCGGGTGAGGCCCGTGAGGTGAGGGCCGGCGAGCGGGGCTCGCCCGCCCGAGCGAGGGTCGAGGTCGCCCGGGCGGGGCGAGCCCCGGCGAGGGCCGGCCTCGCCGGATCCGGCGAGGCGAGCCCTCGCCGGGGCTCGCCTTGCCCAGGGCGACCTCGACCCTCGCTTGGGCAGGGCGAGCCCGGCGAGGGCTCGCCTCACCGGGCGAGGCCCGGGCGAGGCCGGCCCTCGCCGAGGCCACGGCGGCCTCGCCGGGCCTCGCCCGGAGGAAGGCGAGGCCCGGGCGAGGCCGGTGGCCGGACGCCGGCCATCGAAAATAAGAAGAAAGAAAAGAAAAAAAAAAAGAAAAAGAAAGGAAAAAAGAAAGAAAAGGAAAAAAAAAAAGAAAAGAAAGGAAAAAAGAAAGAAAAGGAAAAAAAAAGGAAAAGAAATGCCACATCAGCCTCCGGCGAGCCACATCGGTCTCCGGCGAGCCATATCAGCTTGAGAAATTAATAAAAAAATGCCACGTCGGATTTCCGGCGAAGTGGCACTTAAGTGATCGTTTTTCACAACTTTTAGCACTTAAGTGATCCGATTGAAAGTTTTGGCACCAAAGTGGCCTCCGTACACAAGTTTTGGCACCAATGCTGTTCTTCCCCCGTTTCTATTGCATCCAATATTGCCACCCTTGCCTAGGAGTTTCCTTCCATGGACTTATATGAGTAATGTGTGACCGTGCATGTGGATAAATGCCGTGTGGTTACTAAGCACAAACTTTACCTTGCAGAGCTCGCATCATTTGGTGACTTGGGCACGTAACATGGAAAAGGAAGATAGAAAAGACTGCTGGTATTGAAGTTTCCGGGGCGCATGTTTTGTCTGTTTCATCTCGATTTGTGTTTGGGGTCTGGTGTTCAAAAGGAGGACGAATGATATGTGGGTGCTTTAGCTTATCAGTGGGAGCACGAAAAAGATTGTTGTTTCATTTAGCGATTATAAATTACCGATCGGTGCTTGATCTTCGAATGGGGACTGTAAATAAATTTACAATTGTGGATTGGGGATGCCTGCAGAAGACATTTTCATCTCACTTTCTGGATGTAAACCTTTGTTTTGCTCATAAAAGGGCCAGGCAAATGTAATTTCTTTCGAGTCTTGATGGTATGGTGTACAAAATAAGTTCAATTATCTTCTTAGCTTTTTGATATCAGGTTGAGGGGAGGACCTGCCGTTTTAGGTCATTTGCTCAAGGATTTTCAATTGCACTACAAAAAAACATGTTCTTTGCGACGGATTTTGCGACGAAAAAATCGCAAAAATCCGTCGCAAATCGATTTTGCGACAAATTTAGAGACGGAAAAAATTCGTCGCAAAATTCGTGGCAAAATTCGTCGCAAAATGTATTGGACGGAAATTAGGCACGAACTTGATTCGTCACTACTTATTCGTCGCAAATTAGCCACGAATTGTAATGGTCGCAAAATTCGTATGTAAATATTCGTCGCAAATTTTAAAGCATTTCGGCCATCAAATCTTGTCCATATCAATTGCTACGCATTATTGAACATCATGTAATACATTGAAAACAGTCAAAGGACACGAGAAAACCGTAGATTCCGCTTCAGAAATAGAAAACGAACAAACCGGACACAAAGCCATATAATTGAAAAATGTAACTGAAGGAAAAATGCTAGTTCGCAAAAAATAATGACATATGTCAAGTTGCAAAGTCTGACACGATGATATTTGATATCCAATCTTATAATACATTCAAAACATTCATAGGAGGCGGGACAACCATAGAGATGCTTAGAAAACGAAAAATCGACAAACCAGACACAAGATTGGGTAGCTGTGGTACTCGGCAGGACACCAAAAGCAGTCACTTTTGTGGACACCTGATGAAATGTGGATACATAAATAAAGATATTCAATCAGTACAGAATATAAAAGAAGTGCTTATGCATGGATGTGGAACTAGGTATAAAAAAACAAGTAAGAGGGTTAACAAAAAAACGTTTCAGGACGAACATCAATGTTCTTACATATGAGTATGAGTCAACTTTGACATCCACTGTAGTTTTTTCACCCTTGTAAACCGTATTTCTGTCACATAGGAAAAATTAGATCCTTGAACCTAGTTGTGAGAAAGTTGTGCACAAAAAGTAATTGTAGGGCAGGAACAAATTGGGTGAAACTGCACTTATGTCATAAAAGAGTGTGAAGCAAGCTTACCCCCGATTTTGGCAATTTCAACTAGAAAGGACCGAGAAAATCATCAGCATCATCATCAATGTCAGCATCATTGTGCTCATCACCTATTGGATTGGCAGGAGGTACAGGAGGAACCTGACCGCGATTGATGTTGAAGTGTTGCATAACGATTTGCATTTGCTGTTTCAAGTCATTTATTTCTTCGTCCCTCTCTACAATTATATTTTTTAGGTGGTTCACTTCTTGGGTCAATTGCTCGTCATGTCGTGTCCTCCTTCGACCAGTCGCATTGGATGATGAAGTTCCAGCTTGATTCGGCATGAACATTCTTGACAAGGATCCCATCCCAAATATTTTTCCTTTTTTCACCCCACCCGTTGCCTCCACCCATAATGCCATACTGTCAGCTGATGGCTCAGACGCACTTGCAGAACCATCACTACCACTAGCATTGCCCATTAAAAGTTCATCATATTTTTCCTACATTAACAATATAGATGAAAATAAAATAACTTCATATATATCTCTACCATAAATATTAAAAGCATTCACGGTTTTTATTCTAGTTTCCATAAAGCTCAAAGTATAACCTTACATACCTTAACAGCTTTTGCTCGATCGCCAATCCATGTCTTATCTTTTTTTTGAAAAGTGCGTTCAAATGTAGCTGCAAATGTCGGTTCTGTCCCCAATTCTTGTGCCTACAAAATGTAAACATGGGTAATTGAATTAAATTAACTTATAACTTATTTAACAGACTTACCAGTCGTTTGTGATGCTCCCCAATGTTGATACAGCCCCCAGCATATGTGGCAGACCCTTCACTAGAACTAGAAGATCGATTCTTTTTATTCTGCTCACTGATTTGCTGACTCTTCTCAGTTTTCCAAATTCTGTTAATTTCCGCCCAATTGTCAGCTGTAATGAAAGCCGGCTTCACTCTCTTGCTCTTCGCTCTATTCATCACATTTCGTATGTGATCACTGACTTTCTTCTGAAAAATTCTTATCACTTCATTCTCGAGCTGGTCATCCCACCTGAACTTCCGCTGCAATCAATATAAGCAAAACTGAAAGTTATTATGATGGCTACATATCCATTACCATGCACCAGACAATTCGGCGATAGACTTTGTTAAGTTCATCTCGGGGAAAATATTCTCTCCCCTTTAGTACCGAAAACTAAAGAGCTGTTCTAGTCCCTTTACATCGTTCTTGACCATCAATATGCTACACCGAACTTAGTTGGTAAGAAAATAGAATATCTAAAACTTACCTTGAACTCATTCCACCACAAATCTTTCACCTCTTGTGGAACACTTCTGTAATTAACATACTCCCCCATCCAATAGTTTTTGATTATTTTATTCAGTTCCCTCACAACAAACGTAGCATCCGTGAATCTGCAAACATACGGATATTGTGCAACATCGACAATTCAGTTGACATCCATATCGAAAGCCATAAATATTACATATACTAAAAAAAAATTGAAGTACTTACGAATCTCCAAATGGGCATATCAGGATTCGGTTATCTTCTTGACCTTCGTTTCCGTCATTATGCGAATGTTGCGCTGAATAATAAGGTGGAACGGAAGGAGAGGGAGCCAAAGGTGATTGAACTGGAGGAGATTGAGTTGGCATGTGGCCAAGTCCCATAACATGTTCTTGAGCGTTGGAGGAAGGACCAACGTGTCCATATTGTCCATCAGCATATCGTGGTTGCGAGTTAGATGAAAGGACAGGAGATGAGGAAAGGGCGTGGGACGAGGACGTTGAAGAGGCTGGTCTTCTATGCACGTGACCTCCACGTTTAAACTGACAAGTAGGAAGGTTAGACAAATATGTAAAAAAATATGAACACGTATTACGGAGACATAATGACGTACATGACGAAGCTTATCATTTTGATAGGCTGCAGAAAATGTTCCCTCTTAATTAGCCAATGCCGAGTGTTTATGACGTGCAATTTCTTACGAACAAATATACTATGAATCGCACTCATTTTGATATCAAACATCAATATATGAGCACGATATGCCATGCTAAGCCGACATTAGCCATAATTAACCACACGATCCACTTTCAAACCACACGATAATTCATCAAGTACAAGAACAACCATGAAACATCAATTTCAGCCACATGATCTTCGTTCTCGGCCACACGATCATCAATCAAAGTGGTTGGCCATAGGCATTATAAGCCTTTAATTTTTTGGCCATCTAAAAAAATTTAAATTTCACTCAAAGTGGGTGGCCACAGGTATTATAAGCAATTCTGAGGAGTTTTCAAATTTTTTACATATTTAATATTTTTTTGGCCTCCTAAAAAAATTATTTTTCACTCAAAGTCGATGGCCATGTATATTCTAAGCCATTTTGTGAAGTTTTGAAATTTTTTATTTTATTATTATTTTTACATTTTTCGTGCACCTAAAAAATTTACAATTTCTCTCAAAATGGTTGGCTACAAGTATTTTAAGCAATTTTATAATTTTTTGAAAATTTTGAATTTTTTATTATTATTCTTTTTTCGGGCACCTAAAAAAAATTAAATTTCACTCAAAGTGGGTGGCTACAGTTATTTTTTGCCATTTTGTGATATTTTGAAATTTTGGTTTTTTTAATTTAAAAAAAGCATTCACCAAATTTAATATTTTCCCAAAATATGACTTCTTTTAAATTTTCATGAAATTTTTCGAATTTTTTCAAGAATTGTTCAATTTTAATGCATTTTCTGAATAAACACTTAATCAATCACCCGATGATCATTGAACGGTTAATCGGCGATATAATGAACAAATTAACCAGTTGAACATCGATTAAAGCCACATGCAATCCTCAAATCGACTCCTAACTTAGCCAACCAATCAGACACTAAACAATCCCTAAACAAGTTTGATTAATACTCATTATAATAGGTAGCATTTAGAGAGTTGCTTACTTGGTTCAAGGCCAAGAAAAACCCAACAATAATTAGATTTTGTGACGGTTAATAGTGGCGGGCTCGGCACGGGCGGCGGTTGGGCGGCGGTGGGTGGCGGCAACGGCGGCAGCAGGGCGGCGGCGGCGAGCCGGGTGGCCGGCGACAGGTTGGGCGGCCGGGCGGTTCTGCCGGGCGGCGGCGGCCGGACGGCGCGAGCGCCGGGCGGCGACGGCCTCGTGGATGGCGAGCCGGGCGGCGACGGCCTCGTGGATGGCGAGGCGGCGACGGCGGACGGCGGCGAAATGCCGGGCGGCGGCGGGCGGCGGCCGGGCGGCGACCGCGAGCTCGAGGCAGGCCAAGGGCCGCGGCTGGCGATGGATTGGGCGGCGGCCGGGCGGGACGGACTGGCGGCGGCCGGGCTGCGACGGACTGGGCGGCGGCGGCCGGGCGGGCTGGGCGGTACGGGCGGGACGGCGAGCTCGGCCGGGCCGGGCCGGGCCGGGTAGCTTACGCTGGGCGGCGATGGGGAGCTCCGGCGACGGTTGGGCGGCGGCTGGGCGGCGACGGCAAGCTCGGCGAGGCTGGTCGACGATGGCTTCAGGAGGCTACGAGGCGGGCCGGCAAGGTGCACGGGCGAGCGAGGAGGCGGCGAGCGGAGACCCCACGCGCGGGCAAACGACGACGGGGGCGACGGCGACGCCGACGGCGGATGTGGCGACGGAGCAAAGAGACGAAGAAGACGGCGGCGACGGCGACGGTAGTGCACTCGGCGATGAAGACGAAGAAGAAGAAGAAGAAGAAGAAGAAGAAGAATAATAATAATTTTAGGCGAAAAACAACAAAAAATGTCAGAGAGGAAAAGCTGACCGGGGCACGTGCGCGTGCAGGCGGGAGAGAGAGATTACGACGGGCGGGAGTGGTCCGTCGTAAATTTGCGACAGGAATTTTCCCTCCCAAATTTGCGACGGACGGGAGTGTTCTATCGCAAATTTGCGACGGACCACTCCCG